TCAGTGCAATCCCTATCAAAATCCCAATGGCATTTTTCACAGAAATAGAACTAACAATCCTAAAATTTGTATGGAACCACAAAATTTGGTGTACGTCACCAAAGCAATTTTGAGAAAGGACAAAGCTGGAGGCAACACCCTGCTGATTTCAGACTGTAAGTCTACAGTAATCAAAACAGGATGGTATTGGCATACAGCAGACACACAGACTGATGCAATGGAATAGAGAGCCTGTAATAAGTTCATGCATCCAGAGTCAGTTAATTTATGAGAAAGAGCCAATATACAATAGGGAAAGGACAATCTCTTCAACAGATGAATCACAAGTGCACTGCACTGTGCTCTAAATTAAAGCCAGAACCAAAAGTCTACTGACTGTATTTACATGACATTCTGGAAAAACAAAACTATAGGTCAGTTGTTATGACCTGGGGTTGAGGGAAGGGAACGAATTACCCAGGAGCATGGAGGAACTTTTTCTGGGGGTGGGGTGGGGGGAACAGAAATAATCTGTATCCTGATTGTGGTTATGGTTATCTGACTGTATATGTTTGTCAAAAAGCATATACAGCTGTATACCTAAAAAAGGGTGAATGTTACTATATGCAAATTATGTCAATAGCCTCCAAATAAAAAACAAAAAATTCCCTCATCAACATAGATGTGAAAGTTTCTTAATAAACATTAGCAGAATGAAAGCAGGAATGTATGACAAGTACACTATGATCTTGGGAATGAAAAGTTGAGCTGATTCTTGAAAATCAATGTTAAGTCACTGTATAAAAAATGTTTACATTGTATGATAATTGCGAAAGAAGAAAGCATTTGACGATATGCAACTCATGTTAATGATAAAAGGAAAATTCCTCACCCTGATAAAGGACAGCTGTGAAAAATCAAAAGCTAACATTATACTTAATGGTAAAGAACTGAATATTTCCCTCAAGATTAAACAAAAGCCAAGGATGTTCATTTTCTTCAGCTCTATTCAACACCGTACTTTGCTGGACACTATAGGAAATGCTGCAAGAAAAAATTCAGACTAGATAGGAAATAGTAAAAGTGCATTTACGCATAAATGACATGGTTGTGTTTATAGAAAAATCTAAGGAATCTATAAAAAGCTACTGGAACTCATAAATTTAATATCATAAGAAACAAAGTTGATACACAGGAAAAAATACATATATTCAACAACAGCACTTATCATAACATCAAGAATTATGACATACTTAAGGATAAGTTTAACAAAATATGTGGAAGACTGAAAAGTACACAACATTACTAAGACCTAAATAAAAGAATAGACATGTTTATGAATTGATGGATTTATAATATTAAGATATGAATTATCTCCATATTGGTCTATAGATTCAATACACTCCACCTTTTAATTCCCCCAAACATTTCCCCCCTTAGCAATTGACAAGTTGATCTGCAAAGATGTAATTGAAAAAAGACTTTCAACAAAGCAGTAGCAGTTTTGAAATGTGCAGTAGTAATACTCTTTGGTATTTTTAGAATAATAGACACATGATACACTGCTATAGAAGCGTATTTGGAAATGAATATATTTCTGTAGTCTACTGATTTTCAAAAAGCAACTCAGTGGAGAGAGAGAATTCTTTTCAAGAAATGGCCCCAGAACAAATGTATACGACTGTTTCCTCTTTTAACAGCTTTTCTAACTGTATACACTACAATTTTGTAATTTTAAAATTAATGTTCCAATTACAGTTCTGGCCTCATATCAAAATTTCTGATACACAGGCATCTCATGATTATCTTTTCTGAGGAGACCATAATTTCATAATTTTTGGTTTTCTCTTTAATCCCAACCTTAGGCATACATGTGATGACTTCCCAAATCGAGATGTTAAACATATCACTATTTAGAACATTAATTGCAAAAAAAGCTGTACAATGGAAAGCTCCACCAGTGACCACCCTATCCAAGTTTCAGTACTTAGTTATATGTCTACAAAAAATGCAGCATTACCTTGCAAGTGTTTTTCAGAATCCAATGATATCTGTGTAACTTCCAGTATAGAAAAAAATCTGGGTAGAGGAACAAGTTAGGTGATAGTGTGAGAAAACAGATACAGAATGTGAGGCATTCTCGAACTTCCTTGGGCCTTTCCCCAAAAATCATGGAAAAAAAGGTGAGGCTCAAGAGTAGAAGGCTATAGGGGCACCTGGGTGGCTCAGTTGGTAAGCATCCGACTTCGGCTCAGGTCATGAATCGCAGTTAGTTTGTGAGTTCGAGTCCCTCATCAGGCTCTGTACTGACAGCTCAGAGCGTGGAGCCTGCTTCAGATTCCGTGTCTTCCTCTCTCTCTGCCCCTTCCCCACTCACACTCTGTCTCTCTCAAAAATAAACATTAAAAATTTTTGAAGAGTAGAAGGCTATTATTTAGGAGTGAAGTCTACAGCTTTCTCTTAAGAAATAAGCATGTACACATGGAGAGGTAAGAAAATAGAGATAAATAAGGCAAAATGTTTCTAAAGATGGTGGCAATTTTTCTATTCTTTCACCTTTTTTCTATGTTAAAATTTCTACTAACAAAAAAGTTGCAAAAGAAATTTCCAAGTGGACAGTATTTGTCTCTCCCATTATTCCTTTCCAGCTTATCCTGAGTTTTGGACAAAGTAATGAGGATTACAGGCTATTCTCAACAACTTCACATACATTAAAAGGCTGGGTTTCTTTCAAGCATTCTTTAATTCCACTTAAGGGATGAGTTCTAAATGAATATCCTCTCGTTTCTTTCTACAAAGTTTTATCCAGAAAGATTTATCTAAAAGTATAAAATGGGTACAGGAATTTAAGGGGATTTATTTTTAATTTTTATAAATTTTTTAAAATGTTTATTCATTTTTGAGAGAGAGCATGCGTGGAGGAGGGGCCAAGAAACACAGAATCTGAAGCAGGACCAGGCTCTGAGCTGTCAGCACAGACCCTGATGCGGGGCTCAAACCCACAAACCATGAGATAGTGACCTGAGCCGATGTGGGTGTCTTAACAGACTGAGCCATTCAGGCGCCCCAGGGCACTTCTAAATTAACTACACCTGAAGGGTCTTACTCTCAACATTTTACTGGCAGTTGAAAAAAATGCTAATACTAAAATTAATAAATACCAAGTATAGGTTTTTACAAGTATGTAGATTCTACTACCACCATTTTAAAGCAATGCCCGGAAATAGCACGTATGGTTCCTGATGTCAATCAGGTTGAACGTGGCGGCATGACAATGACAAGAGCTGACGGTGTGGTGCGGCAAGCTTTCCAATATACATTCGCTGTTGTTTTTTTAAAACTACGATGGATTATCTGAAGTTTAGCAATGGTTTAAGAGTAACTGGAAGGCTTTTTTATTCACTAGTTCATTCAACCATGTTAGGATAGGACATATAAAATTTTATGCTATCAATGCTGTACTAAGGTTTCCTACCTTTTCTGAATTGGCCACCAATCCAGAATATTATGATTTTGTAAACACAAGGACGACAATGAAGGCTTTCCGTCGTTTTCTGAATTCCATTATGAATTCTCTAATATGAGAATATTTTTAAAAAATATTAATGCACTTTTAAAAATTATATTTAAATCAGGCAATGGTCTGACAATAAATAGGCTGCTTACGGAATACCGTTATGTTAAACTTTACTTATAGGGTGTTAAATCCTTAGAACTGAGGTTTTCCCCAGAAAAAGATTAATGGAAACATCGGTTGCTTTTCAGACTTGATAGTTGCTGCTTCAAAAGGTGGTTTTACACAAACACTAAATTAAAAAAAAAAAAAATCAAAAACCTTGAGAACACAATGAATCGCTTTTATTTCGGTATGCACCCACATCTCAGCATTTAGTGGTCCTGAACAGAAAAGTGGAAAAATGCAGCAATTTGCCAGGAAGTCAAGCCCGCCAGTTTCAGGATCTGCTGTGCACACTGAGTTCTTTTCTCAATCCCTGCTGAGGACCATGAGAAGCAGCAGCACCAAAACCAAAGCATGCACCGAATTCAAGGTTCCTTCTGTTCCGGTTGCTACATTCCAACTAGACCCAAATGGATTGCCAAGGGGACCACATGAGAACCCTGTTCAAAACTTCCTCAATTTTTCAAAGCAATTACAGAGGGATCGTGTGTGCTCACATATGTCTCCTGTGGCCTTCCTCCAAGTTTAACACCAAGAACTTTGAGAGCCAGCAGGTCTGAGTACCCCTGGTGACTGTTCTTTTCACTTTATCAAAACCTGAGCTAAAAACCCGCATCGGCTGACTAGGTCAGCAGAGGGTGGCAGGGCTGAGGACCCAATGTTCATTCCCAGGCTGGTGGAGAGAAACTGTTGTTCAAGACTAAAGGAGGGAAGTCAAGAGACTCTTTCCAACCTTACCTGATGGCTCTGGCCAAAGCAAGGAAGTATTGTGGAAAGTGTTGGGTGGTGATGGTACAAAAAGGGGAGTTAAGGAGCAGGAAGGAAAAAGCAGCACCTCTTGATTAAGGTGGGGGAGAAGAAATGGGATAGAGCCCTGAATTCCTCACTAAAGGCCAATTTCAGAGGGGAGCAGAGGGGATTACAATCCTTGCTTTGGCCAAGGGTGGTAGTGAAAGGGAATAAGGGACAATGGCTTGGCGGGGGGTATCACTTAAGACTTAAAAAAAAAAAAAGCAAGGGTGCAGCTGGAGCACCCCCACACAGCCAGCAGTAGTCCCAACAGGCTGTTGACCTGAAACCTTCACACCTACTCAAGCAAGCCACCCCAAGCTGGAGGGCTTTTGCAGGGAAGGAGGGAGGGAGAGAGGCAGGGGGAGGAGAAGGGGAGAAGGCAGAGACCCCAGGCCATGTAATCAGCTGCAAGGTGAATTGTGTGATGTGTCTTTTCACAGTTGAGTTAGATGTGTCCCAGCAGTTTTGATGGGAATCAATTTAAATATACTTTATCCCAGAAGTTCAATTATGTAGACAGTAGTTATACTTGACAAGATGATCTGTTATAACACAACTTAGAGATTTTAAATGGGCAAAAAATTAGTATCATTTACAGTATCCTAAGATTAAATTGCCTTGGAATGGGAGCTTCCTTTCCAGGACTTTGAGGTCTACAAGATGTATCTAGAAAATAAACTGCTGTGGAAAATGAAGACTGCTTAAATCGAATGGAGGGAAGGGGGAGAGGCCCATGGTTTTTCTTTTGGATCAACTGTTGTAACACTGTCCTTCAGGCAGTTGAGGGAGTTTCATGTTTTTAGACCTCATTAGACGCTGGAGCTCTGGCAGGACAACTCTGATCCTATATGAATTCCGCCATTTTGCTAGTGCTGATCGGACTCTTGGGTCCACCACTCCATTGGAACTATTAACTATATTCATATTAATTTTTGTTACAAATCTTACAAAGGGAGGTGCTTCTGGGTATTTAGGTCTGCATTCTATTTTAAGGCTGTATTTTTGGTTTTCTTTCTTTTTTAATGTTTTATTTATTTTATTTTATTTTTTTGAGAGACAGACAAGCGTGAACAGGGGAGGGTCATAGAGAGAGGGAGACACAGAATCCAGGCTCTGGGCTAGCTGTCAGCACAGAGCCTGATGCAGGGCTCAAACCCACAAACCATGAGATCATGACCTTGAGCTGATGTCGAACACTTACCCGACTGAGCCACCCAGGTGCCCCTATTTGGTTTTCAGAGATTGTTCTTGGAGGCCCAGTTATCATCCCCGTCCACCTCATAAGTGTCATGTCTTCATCACCTTCTAGACCCCAGCTAACTGTGCCATCACCTACTCCTTTCTGGCCTTCTTCCAGTTCTTCCAACAGTCGAAAATTGTGAGAGACTTTTACTCCCAAGCTCGTGGTGGCTGCCATCTTGCTTTGCTGTTGCTTCTCATATGAGAATAATTTCTAAAGGCCAGTAAGATTTTTTTTTACATTCAAGTTTTTCATTAGCATAAATTTGAGTCATACACAAAAGATTTCCCAAATTCTTTAAAGTCTTAGGGTTTTACACCCATATGTTTTCCCTGATGTGCTTTAAGGGCTGAACTGTATCTAAAGGCCTCCCCACATTTTTTATATTTAAAAGGTTTCTCACCAGTGTGCATCCTCTGGTGTTCAATAAGGAAGGAATTAAGTCTAAAGGTCTTGCCACATTCCTAGAGGGTTTCTCGCCAGTATGAACTCAGATGTCCAATAAGCTGTCCATAGACAGTAAAGGCTTTTCCACATTCCTTACATTCATAATGCTTCTCACCAGTATGAATTCTCAGATGCTGAACTAGGTAAGAGCCAGAACTAAAGGCCTTCCCACACTCCTTACACTCATAGGGTTTGTCACCAGTATGAATTCTTCCATGTTGTACAAGGTATAAAGCACGACCAAAAGTTTTTCCACATTCCTTACATTTATAGGGTTTCACATCAACATGAGTTTTCTGATGTTGTGTTAAGATGTACATGTACTTTAAAAGTCCTTCCACATTCCTTACATTCGTAGGGTTTCTCATCAGTATGAACCTTTTGATGTACAGTAAGTTGATGGCGACCAATAAAAAGCCTTTCCACATTCCTTACATTCATAGGGTTTCTCACCAGTGTGAATCCTCTGATTTGAACAAGGTAGGAGCCAGTACTAAAGGCCTTTCCACACTCCTTACACTCCTAGGGTTTCTCACCTGGATGAAGTCTTTCATGTTGAACAAGGTATGAGGCACGACGAAAGGCCTTCCCACACTCCTTGCATTCATAGGGCTTTACTCCTGCATGAATTCTCTGATGTGCATTCAGAAATGAACTAAGTCTAAAGGCCTTTCCACATTCCTTACATTCAAAAGGTTTCTCACCAGTATGAATATTCTGATGCTGAGGAAGCTGTCCATACACAGTAAAGGCCTTTCCATATTCCTTACTTGCTTAAGGTTTCTCACCAGTATGAATTCTCTGATGTTTAACAAGTGGTGAGCTACTACTAAAGGCCTTCCCACATTCTTTACATTCATAGGGCTTTTCACCAGTATGAATTCGCTGATGTTGAGTGAGGTATGAGAAGGTACTAAAGGCCTTCTCACATTCTTTACACACAAAAGGTTTTTCACCAGTATGGATACTCTGATGCCGAAGTTCTTTTCCATACACTATGAAAGCTTTCCCACATTCCTCACATTCCCAGGGTTTCTCACCGCTATGGATTCTTTGATGGTGAACAAGGTATGAGCTACTATTAAAAGCTTTTCCACATTCCCCACATTTACAAGGTTTCTTACCAGTATGACCACTCTGATGTACACTAAATTGATGGCTACTACCAAAGGTCTTCCCACATTCCTTACATTCATATGGTTTCTCACCAGTATGAATTCTCCTAAGTTTAACAAATGCTGAGCCTCTAATAAAAGCCTTCCCACATTCTTTACATTCATAGAGTTTCCTAACAGTGTGAGTTCTCAGATGTTGAACAAGGTACAAAAAGGTAGTAAAGGACTTCCCACATTCCTTACATTTATAAGGTTTCTCACCAACATGAAATCTCGGATGTACAGTGAGCTGATGTCCATTACTAAAATTCTTCCCACATTCTTTATATTTGTATGGTTTTTCACTAGCATGTGTTCTCTCACATTGAACAGGGTTTGTGTATTGACAGAAAGTCTTCCCACATTCCTGATATTCATAAGATTGCTCTCTATTACGAATTCTCTGATGTAAAGCAAAAGACATATGTTTCTCAACAGTGGGCATTTCTGTATTGCTGATTGTCTCATCCTCCAACTGAAAAATCTGAAAGAAAACAAACGAAAATATATTGTTTTCCTAGATGAGAAAATACAGGAATATAAATTTCTTTGGAAGAAAAGAGACAAACTAAACATATCGATTAGAAATCAAAGGCCTAGATTATACTAATATACGGCTACAAAATTTTTTTAAAGGTCAAAGAGAAATGCAGAGATTAATGAGAGTTTATTTAAAATGGTAAGGTTGGTGATAAAATAGGTTTCATTTCCGGGAGTTAAGTGTGGATCTGAATCTTTGAGAAGCATCTTGAGAAACTGATACCCAAACACCATCCCAGACCTCCTGAATCAGAAGACACAGGGCAAGTTCGTGGGCACTGAGATGTTTCCCATTTCTCACAAATGTTTCTGGTACAAAGGAAATTTCGTTTCTCCCCACTGTGACTTCTCTTTACTCTTTAAATAAAATCCACGTACCTTTCATTAATATGGTCCCTGCTTACTGATCTATCAGGTCTCCTATCAAGTCATAATTTCCTTTGTTCCCTATCAGCTCACTTTCCCCTGTCAGCACTTGGAACGTGTCACAAATTTTCTCATCTTTAGTTCCATCTGCAGGTGACGTCATCTCCCCAAAATTCTTTGGCATGTGTTGTTTTCAGACTGGATCTTTCTCATACTTTATATGTTTAAGGTAAAATGTCACTAATCAGGAATACTGTAAATTGCTGATCTGGTCTAAGGGTGCCATGTTATAACATTTAATTCTTTTAAATCCAACCTGTTTTCAATTACACAATTATTTTTCTTTGTTAAGAGTTTTAATTTATTTCTCCCAAACCTACTTGTGGCTGATAGTATTTTGGCCTTCGTGACCTTTGCCCTCATCATGCCTGTGAACATGTTGTATCACGTGGCAAAAGATATATAATTAAGGTTAGTAATTAGTTGATTTGAGATGAAGACATCAACCTGGCTTATCTGGATAGTTCCCTAAAGAGAGAGTTTTCTCCTGGCTGAGGGCAGAAAGGGAGTCAGGGACATTCAAAGTGCGAGAAGGACAAGGCTCACTGGTTGCTGGCTGGAAGGTGGAGGGGACCACATGGAAAGTGTGAGCCGGAAATAAATTCTGCCGATAACCAGTAAGCTTGGAAGAAGACCCCATGCCCTAAGGAACTGGAGTCACAGCTGACACTTGGATTTAGCCATCCTGTGCTGAACTGGCCTACAAAACTATGTGATAATAAACGACTGTAGTCTTAAGCTACTAAATGTGCAGTAATTTGTTACAAAGCAATAGAAAACTAACACTTTTCCCCAAAGCAGGCCCAACCTCTGTTTCATTCACTACTGAACTATAACCCGCTGGCACATAGCAGAAATTGACTGCCAGGGGGAAAAAAAAAAAGACAAATCCCCAAAAGAAAGAATTAGGATATAATTAAGACAGTGTCATACAAATAATTCCTTGATAATCCATTAATAAAAGATAGAGAATCCTTTAAGAAATAAACCATTTTGGGAATGGGGCAGGGAAGGTATAAGGTATCTTTGCCAAAAAGTCAGGCACATTTCCAAGACTCCTAGGTTTCTCCAAGAAACAGAAGAGACTTCACATGGAGTTATGGTTGATAAATACATGACAAAAGGAACACACAACTGATGACTTTGAATTCTACATCCTGCATCAGTGATAATGGATGGATAAAAGATGAGTCCATCATAATTCTTGCCAGAGAACAGAAAAATAAATTTTTAATCTCTGTTGTTGGATAATCTCCTACTTAGAAAACGTATTTAACTCCTATAGTAAAGAATCAAATGATTTCTCCCTTTTTTCACGGAGCTCTGTTTTAAGGGAACCAAAATTACTAGTTTAGAAAACTAATAAATATTTACACAAGAAATAATAGTAACAAAGTATCTTCCTACAAGTAATACTTTTTTATTCTTTTTTTTGTTAAAAGCTTATTTATTTTGAGACAGAGAGAGAAAGAGAGCTTGAGAGCAGGGGAGGGGCAGAGACAGGGAGAGGGAGAATCCCAAGCAAGGCAGGCTCAGCACTGTCAGCACAGAGCCCAATGTGGGACTTGAACTCACGAACCACAAGACTATGACCTGAGCCAAAATCAAGAGTCAGATGTTCAACCCACTGAGCCACCCAAGTGCCCCTATTCTTAAGCACCTTCTCAAGTATTTAGGGGTGAAATGTTATGATCTGTGCAACCAACTAAAATGGTACAGCAGAAATTCTTTATATACATAGAGAACAAAGCAGCAAAATATTAAACACTGGTGAATCCATGTGATGGTTTTAAGGACTGTTATATTGCTCTTTCAACTCTTACATAGTTTTGAATTCAGCCGGCACAATGCAAAACCAAACCAAAATGGGCTTTTAAGAATGGTACCCTTCTTTAAGTGGCACACTGTATTAAGAGACATTAAAAACACCAGAATTTATTTAAAAAAAAAAAAAAAGCCTTCTCCAAGTAATAGAAGTAGACTGAGACTGATTAGATGCCAATCATATAGGGCTGAACAGTATTCTCTTACAGCAGAATGTGAGGAAACCGGGTTCTTATATATGGAAGTAATTAATACGAGGTCATTTTTGATTAGCGTGACTACTAGATTGAAAATGACTGGTGTCCTTAGAAGAAAAGGAGAGGAGACAAAGAGACAGACACAAAGGAGAACACCCTGTGACACTGGAGGCAGGGAGGCAGCGAGAAGCCAACGACTGTCAGCAACCACCAGAAGCTAGAAAGAGGCAAAAACGGATCCTTCCCTGGAACCTTCCGAGAGAGCAGGCCCTTGCCTCTTGGTTTCAAACTTCTGGCTCTAAGAATCGTGAGGCAGATTTCTTTTGTTTTAAGCCCCCAAGTTTGTGGTAATTAGTTAGAGCAGAACTAATTTACATATCTGTGGTAATTGATTATGGCAAGAACTACCACACAAGGGTAAGTATGTAATATAGAAAAGCACTATGAAGTAGGTGTCAAAAAACTTTCTTCAGGTTAGTTTCCATTTCTGAAAATCAATTCTAACCAAATGCTGACTAATTATAGGAAAAAGTGTCAATTTTAATAAAAATATGTAAGAAGCCCACCAAAATGTGAAACAGAATCAAAACTAAATAATTTATTTTTAATTTTTTAAAGTTAATTTATTTCTTTATCGAGAGAGCGAGTGTGTGAGCGGGGGAGGGGCAGAGAGAGAATCCCAAGCGCTGATAGCATGGAGCCTGACGCACGGCTCGATCCCATGACCTGGAGATCATGACCTGAGCCAAAATCAAGAGTCGAATGCTTAAGGGACTAAGCCACCCAGGCGCCCTAAAACTAAATAAACATTTTAAAAGCAAATTATTATAGTCTCTGAAAAAAATTACAAATTTCAAACGTGAACGTTTTCTATTAGAACTTAGACAACTTTGGGGGCACCTGGGGGGCTGGGTCGGTTAAGCGTCCAATTTCGGCTCAGCTCATGATCTCGCGGTTTGTGAGTTCGAGCCCCACATCCTGCTCTCTGCTGTCAGCCTGTCAGCGCAGAGCCCGCTTCGGATCCTCTGTCCCCCCTCCCCTGCCCCTTCCCTGCACACGCATGCTCGCTCTCTCTCTCTCTCTCTCAAAAATAAATAAACGTTAAAAAAATACTGATAGCGGGGCGCCTGGGTGGCTCAATTGGTTAAGCGTCCGACTTCGGCTCCGGTCATGATCTCACGGTTCGTGGGTTCGAGCCCTGCGTCGGGCTCTGTGCTGACAGCCAGCTCAGAGCCTAAAGCCTGTTTTGGATTCTGTGTCTCCCTCTCTTTCTGACCCTCCCCTGCTCATGCTGTCTCTATCTCTTTAATAAAACATTAAAAATTTTAAATAAAAAAAATTAAAAAAAATACTGATAGCAATTTGAAAACCATGTTACAGTGTTGCTGTGAGGATCAATAAGGTACTACATGTAAATCGTCTGGAAGAGTGTCAGCCATTGAGTGTGGACTTAGTGTTACTTTACTGCAGTTGCTTCTGCTCTTCCCACCACCACCATCACCATCATCACGGGCTGCATAAGAGACAATAAGAAAAAGGGAAAAAAGTCTGTACGCCATGAGTAAACCAAACAAGAAAGATTTCATACCTCCCCTGACAAATTTTCAATGAATGATTTTTCTTTTATCTCTGAGGACACAAGATAAAGGATACACACTCCTTCCTCTACTATATCGACTGTCTACGTCCAAATCCACCGTCACCATTTTTTCTTAGCATGAAATTCCACCATCTTATCCCTCCAGCTCAAGGCCGTCGCTTCCACAATAATTTCCTCCTTCGAATTCATCCATTTTGGCCGCTCAGTGGAAGCACTGCCCTCATCAATCACGCAGGTGTAACCCTGCACCTCCCCCCCCTCCCCCGATGCCATCTCCCCCTGAGCAAATGCCTCTACAGAGCCCTGGAGACACTCATCACTGCCCCACACCGTTCGGCTTTCACGGGGCCTGTCAGGCTTTCACTCCTGGACACCACTGAGAACTCCCCCTTCTGGGAAGGCCAGATCTCGAGCTCAATGCCATTTCTTTTTTTTTTTTTTTTAATTTTTTTAATTTTATTTCTAGGAGAGAGAGAGAGACAGCGTGAGCAGGGGAGGGTCAGAGAGAGAGGGAGTCACAGACTGAAACAGGCTCCAGACTCGCTGGCAGTCAGCACAGAGCCCGACGCGGGGCTCGAACCCACAAACCGCGAGATCATGACCTAAGCCAAAGTCGGATGCTTAACCGACTAAGCCACCTAGGAGCCCCACTCATTTCTTATTGTAATTCATGTTTCAGTGATCATTCTTCCATCTTGAAACATGTTCTTCATTTGCCTTTGGTGGTACCACTTTCCTGTTTTAATTCTACCTCAAAATGTGCTTCTTCTCAGTAGTCTCTTTTGCGCCTCCTCTAACAGACGGAACTGTGAGACTCCTCTCTCTGCCCTGGCTCTTTGGTAGACTTCATGCAGTCCCAGGGCTTTAAATACCAACCATGGGGGCGTCTGGTGGCTCCGTGGGTTAAGCGTACAACTTCGGCTCAGGTTATGATCTCATGGTTTGTGAGTTCGAGCCCCATGTCGGCTCTGAGCTGACAGCTCGGAGCCTGGAGCCTGCTTCAGATTCTGTGTCTCCTTTATTCTCTGCCCTCCACTCTGCTCACACGGTCTCTCTCTTAAAAATAAACATTAAAAAATTTTTATGAGGCTATTTGCCTTATAGTAATTCATTAAGCTGTATATTTTAATATGGTTTTCTAGTTTTTGTCTCATTTTATAAAAGGTTTTTATAATTTAAAACCAGAAAAATAGAAATTAGATCATGCCTCCTAATCACGTTCAGAAAATAATCCAATTTTTTTTTAAATTTTTTTATTTATTTAGTTTTTTACAAATAGTTTATTGTCAAATTAGTTTCTACATAACACTCAGTGCTCATCCCCAAAGTGCCCTCCTTCATGCCCATCCCCCCCTCCCCCCCACATCCATCAGTCCTCAGTTTTTGT